TCCCACGCAAGTTCTGGCCAGGCCTGACCCTGCTGGGTTTGAGACCCCTTAAATCATCCCAGCCTGCCGCAGTGCAAAGGCATAGCGTCATTCTGGTGTGTGTCCAATGATGTCATTTCCTGTCAGTCACCGCTTTCCAAGGAAGTGATGGTCAATGCGGCAGCAGCTGGTAGAGGGGCGGTACTTCCCAAGGGCGAGATCCTGACCTGGGGCCCAGCCCGGGACCACCTTCTGCAGAACTAAAACACCTGCCGGGGCATCAAACACCTGCCGTGTTGAACTTCCCCTGTGCTCTAGTGACCTGCCTCGCCATCATGTCACGATGCCCCCTGGGGACACAAAAGGAGCAGGGGGCAGCCACGAGGGCCATTTTCCAAGAGATCACTCCTGGACAATTCTTCCCGGGACTGACATTACCAGGGAGCTTGCTCTTGCTGCTGGAAGTCTGCAGCCCGGTAACAAGGAACCCCAGAGAAATCCACAGGGGCAGAGGTATCTCACCACTGCAGTGCCAGAGTCCAGCTACCCAATACTTGAGCTGTCAAGGCCTTTATCATGAACAGCAATGTGTTTCAGTCCTTCTGTGCCAAGGGGCACCCAGCATCCCCTCACATCACCCCACCCTGGCCAAGCAACCAAACTGACGGTTACTGCTGGGTACCAAGGATACCGGAGGGGTACACAGGGGCTTCTCAGTCGCTCGGACAGAGCGCTCAACTAGGCTGGTTTTGTAGTTAAGGCACTGGATTAGGACTCACAAGACCTGGGTTCAAATCCTGGCTTTGCCATAGACTCCCCATGTGATCCCAGGCAAATCACTTAAATCACAGCAGGCCTCAGTTTTCCCATCAGTAAAATAGGAAGAATACTCCTCCCCCTCTTGCATACATTGCTTATTTTGTCTATTGAGACTGTAAGCTCTTTGGGGCCTGGGATGTCACTTCCTCCATGCACACGCAGTGCCTAGCACACCAGGGCATTGCTCTCAGATGGAACGTTTAGGGGTTGGGGGAGTACAAATAAACCACATGGCCAAATTTGGGAGCAGGGAGGAATTTTCACCATGGCCGCCCATTGATCAGGGGACAGAGGCTGGACAGCCATCTGTCTAGGCTCGTTTAGTCGCAACAAAACCCTATGCTTGCTTGGGGACCAGAGGTTAGAACAGAGTGGACGTCTTCTGGTTTGGTGCTGCCAGAGCTTCTTGTCACAGAGGAGGAGCCACTATGCCGCTAACCGTCCTTCCCTGCGCAGCTTTGAGGCAAACGTACCCAGAACAGACAGCAGCCAGGCCTGGGCACTGCATCACCAGAACAAAGTGGTGAAATTGGCAGGATTTCTGAAAAGCCAAGAACAAAAACAGTGCAGGGGAAGGAGGGATTGATTGACATGGAAAACTTAGAAGAGCTAGGATCTGTCTCACTTGGCGACGCAAGTCCTGACGGGCCGGGCTGGATGCTAATCTGCAAAGGGGGTGGAAACATTTAGCGCAGTGCATGGGGGGCTCGCTAGCTAGAGTGGGCTGACATTAAGGGGAACTTTGGGCTGAGCGTTGGGAGAAGCTTCCCCAGCGGGAGATCTAGTTAGTGTCACCAGGGGAAAGAACGGGAGCCCATCTCTTGGGGCATTTAAAGGTGGCACTAAAATTCTCTCTAGGGACCAGCCCTGCATTGGTGCCCAGGAGCGGATCTAAAAGGTGCTTCTCATCCCGGCTCATTCTAAGAGCTGTGGGGCTTTAACCTCAGCCCCCAAGCACCGGTAGTGCCAGTGTCTAGGGAAAGGGGGCACTTTCTCCCAAGCCAGCCCCCCAAGGAGAGGCAGGGAAGGGCCAGGTCTGGGCAAGGCCCCTGCCACTCTGCTCGCTGCCTGGAGAGGGCGCCGCATGGGCTGCTGGCGAAGGCACCCAAGTGCAGAACTCCAGGGGGAGCACTCAGATACTGACCTGCCCCAGCACATCATTCAGCCAGCCCCATTGGTCAGGCGCGGTGGCCATGGTACTGGGAGACACGCGCCCCTGGGTGCGCCAGCCCTGCCTCGCAAGCCAAGGGGATATTCTTCTCTTCCTCCTTACATATAAGGACTCACAGCTGTGGAGAGCAGACCTACGTGCCCCGAGAAGCACATGCTCTCTGAAAGGGGCTCAGTTAGCTGGATGTCGGTGCCCTAAGGATGTGCCAGGCTTTGCACCCCGGGCTTTGCACCCTAGCAGGTGATGAGGACCCTCATGGACTTGGAGCTCAACCCCTCGTGGGATCAGGCTCTCAGAGCCTAATTCAGACCAACACAATAGGATTGTTCCAACCAGCCCTGGCCCTAAAGGGCCCTACGCAGGTGCAGAGAGTCTTGAGTCCCATGCGCCTATCCCTGCGGCAAACCCACATACTAGGCAAAGTTACCCTTTCGCAACAAACTCACTGTGCTCCCAGGCAGTAGGGAGCCGGAATCAGAGGGGCCCACATATGTGGGGCTCCCAGGGGGTGGGAATCTTCCCGTGTCTTTGATGCCAGCTGTGTTGCAGCACGAGCGAAAAGGTGCACCAGCCCATTGGACTCGACCGTGAAGCCAGGTGGAGGGGTGAGGGGGGCAGCCAGTAACATGGCAGAACACACACCAGCAAATCCCGCGCTTAGGTACCCAGGCAAAACTCTCATAAAATCTCAGGGTTGGAAGGGACCTTAGGAGGTCACCTAGTCCAACCCCCTGCTCAAAGCAGGGCCAATCCCAACTAAACCATCCCAGCCAGGGCTTTGTCAAGCCTCTCGCAGAAAGTCCAGGGGGTTTGACCTGAACAGAACAGAGTAAGGGAGGTCCAAGCCAGGCCCAGGCGGAGTGCAAGCAAACAGCTTTCCCAAGAGCACCATCCCCCAGACACTTTCTGCAGCTCATGCAAACAATACACAACCCAGCACACGCCTCTATGACCAGGGTACGGGGAAAGCTTAGGGACTCAGGGTGGCGGACACAGATGTGTGTGTGTGAAACCAGGTCCTGCAAAGTAGTTCCAGTACTCCGGCTTGGGATAAATCACCTAGCAGAGGAAGAACAGTTCCCCAGCCGCTCCAAATGTTAGTTTCCGACAAACACCCTCACAGAAAGAAAAGCATCCATTCCCAGCACAGCACTCCCCTGATGGGTACTATTTTGATGTAACTTTGGGGTGGTTGGTGGTCGTTTTAATAAGAGCAAGGAAAAAGCAGATTTCACTATAATTTACAAAGAACTTCAGGGCAGCCTCAGCTCCAGCATTTGCAATCACGGACACTGCTGCGAGACGGCACAGGAAAGGGAAAATTGCTGCCCAAGTTTCAGCCCGATGCCGGTTGCAATGGCTGGGCATTTGGGAGGTTCTCCCCACAGAACTTCTCAACTTGCATCACGGTCACTGCACAGCCCTCAGCCCAGAGGGCAGGGGCGCGAAGGAGGCAGAAACTGTCCCGAAGAACAAACTTTATCACACATATCGGCGCGGCGGGTGCTCGTTCCCAAACATCGCCCCGCAAAAGTCCACCCCAAGCCAGCACCGGCATGGCAAGAGGGGGGAGAAACGGGCCAGCAGGAAACAAGCTTGTCGAATTCTTTCCCAAAACATTCCAGATCACCCCCCACCCCCACCCCCCGCCTCAGCCTGACCCTGGACAACACACACACCATCACAAAGGCCGACTGATAGGAACAAAGTCAGAGGGCTCAGCAGAAGAGGGAAAGGTTAGTGCCTCAAAGTCTGTGTGTATCTCACACTCACACACACGCCTGCCGCAAAATGTCTCTTTTTTGGTTGTTGCTGAGAATCCATTCAATGCTTAAATAAAGAATAAGCTCCAACCCCTTCTCTCCTGCCAAGGCCCACCACCCCATGCAACAATTTTAGACTTCAAAAGGGGAGGAATATTTTTCCAGCGCAGCTTTAAGAGGTTGGTCTGGGCTTGACAAGAACCCTGTGAAACTTCCGAGGTATAGGGGGACGCTGCCTTCCCAAAAAAATAACCCTTCCATTTGCAACTGGGCATGGCAAAGCTAAGCCAGTCTTTGAGCTCCAGGGGCATGCCTGCCCAGGGAGCTCCAGTCCCTCGCAGAGCAGAGCTGGTCCAGTCCCTTTGATGTTCCTGTTTAAAGAAGTGCTTTTAGGGAAGACAGGCCCTGTGTCTCTTCCCACACCCCAAATCCGGCCGGGCGCAGGGGCCTTGGAGCCCAGCTCCTGGCAATTAAACTCCTGTCTCCACCCAAGTTTGGGAGAGTTGAGGGAAACTCCGGTCCACCCAAGGTGGGAGAACAGGCATGCAGCCGAAGATGGTTGATAAAAAAAAAAAAAAAGAGACAGAGGGCGAGGAATGGGGGGAGACAGTGGGAAGAAAAGCCAAGGAAGGAAGAAAGCATTTCCGCTCGAACTAATCAATCAGAAATGCAGAATAGCTTCCGCGGAGGACGCCTGACACTGGGTCGCTGCCTCCTTTGACCCCTGGCCGCCACAGCCGAGCCGACCAAAAAAAGATTAGAGAAGCGCCAGCTAATTGTCTAGCCAGGGAACCGGGCTGCAAATCAATCGCGAAAGGCAAAGCTTCCACTTTCCGTTCACCACACCCCGCTCCCTGCCCGTCTCCTCGCTTCAAAGAGCGCGCCCGCGCCGCTGCCGGCTCCGCGCCGATTGCCCTGGCTTTCTGCACAAAAAACTAACGACCCCATGTAGCCCCCCCCGGCCCCCCTTCCCCCGATGCCCGTGTTGAACGGCAAGCCGAGAGCAGGGCTGGGGACCAAGCAGCCCACCCGCCAGACGCATCAGACAAGGGGTGGGGGGGGTCCCGAAAAGCCGCGCACCCCAGTGGGCACCTTGGGCGACCCTGCAAGGAAACCCCCGGCCCCTCCGCAGAAGCCTCCCGGCGCTGCATGGAGGGATGTCCCTGCCCAAGGCAGGGCGCAGCCCCCCGCGCGGGAAGGGGCCGGATCCAGATCCGGGGTGACCCGACTTTGGGTCTTGTCCGGCTCCCAGCGCCCGCGGTACTTACAGCGCTTCCCCGCCCGCCGCCGCCGGCGGCCTCCGCTCCAGCGCCCGGCACGCCCCAGCCTCGCTCCTCGGACGATGGAGCCACCAGCTTCTTCTGCACCGGCTCGAAGGGTTTTAGGCGCTTTTAAACTCTCACGCGTAGCCCATGTGACCAGGGAAGCCACTGGGAAGAAGCGCTGGGAACCAGCGAGCGGCCGAGCCCTGCACCCCCTAGCCAAGGGTTTTAGAAATGCTCCTTGCAGAACAACGCACCCCCCACCCCCCCTCCAGCGCTGGGCAGGGCGCGCCCCCCCCACACCCCACACACACCCCCCAGCGCTGGGCAGGGCGCGCCCCCCTCCCCACACCCCACACACATACCCCAGCGCTGGGCAGGGCGCGCCCCCTCCCCACACACCCCACACACCCCCCCAGCGCTGGGCAGGACGCGCCCCCCCACACACACCCCACACACATACCCCAGCGCTGGGCAGGGCGCGCCCCCTCCCCACACACCCCACACACACCCTCCAGCGCTGGGCAGGGCGCGCCCCCTCCCCACACACCCCACACACACCCTCCAGCGCTGGGCAGGGCGCGCCCCCCTCCCCACACACACACCCCAGCGCTGGGCAGGACGCGCCCCCCCCACACACACCCTCCAGCGCTGGGCAGGGCGGGCCCCCCCCCACACACACCCCCAGCGCTGGGCAGGGCGCCCCCCCCCCACACACACACACTCCCAGCACAACACGAACACCCACAAACTCGGGCCCGGTACCAGCGCAGCCAGGCGTGAACAAGCGCCCACCCGCCGTCCTGCACACAACTGTCCCCAGCCCCACACGGACTCACCCTCCCACCCCACACGGCTCCAGGGCGACCTGTCCGAGGCCCCCGGAGAAGAGGGGGCCAAGAGGGAAAGGGAGAAAAGCCAGACGGTGCCACCCTTTTAAAGGCTCTCCACCCACACACACACACACCCACACACACACACACTCTTCTAGGGTGACCAGATATCCCGATTTTATAGGGACTGTCCCCATATTCGGGGCTTTGTCTTATATAGGCACCTATTACCCCTGACCAGATTGTTCACACTTGCTATCTGGACACACACACAGCTGCCTCCCCTCCTCCCCCCCCCCACACCCAACGTCTACACACACCCAACGTCTACACACACACACCCCCGACTCTCCATAAACCCACAACCACACCCAACTGTCCACACACCCACACCTACACCCAACTCTCTCTCTACACACACACACCCCAACTCTCCACACACACAGCCAACTCTCCACACCCCCAACTTCTCCATACACCCCCCCACACCCATATGCACCACTCTCTCCATACACACACACCCCTCTCTACACACACACACCCCTCTCCACACACACACACACACACATCCACACTGCTCTCTCCACACATACACACCCCTCTCTCCACATGCACACCCCTCTCCACACACACAGACACACACCGCTCTCTCCACAAGCACACACACCCCTCTCCACACACACACCCCTCTCCACACACACAGACACACACCGCTCTCTCCACAAGCACACACCCCTCTCCACACGCACACACACCCCTCTCTCTACACACAGCCCCCTCTCCACACACACAGACACACACCGCTCTCTCCACAAGCACACACCCCTCTCCACACAAACACACGTACACACCCCTCTCTCCACACGCACACCCCTCTCCACACACACACGCACGCACCGCTCTCTCCACACGCACACACCCCTCTCTCCACACACACACACACACCCCCCCCCCGCGCTCAGCAGGTTCAAAAATCCCCCGGCGTCTTTGGGAAAGCAGCTCCCTCGGAAGCCTGGGCTGCAAAGCCACCTTCCTCCCTTTCTCCTTCCAGACAAAGCTGGCAAGCTGCTCGCCACGCAGGGGTGTCCTGTCCATTTACAAATCAATACCGACCTCCGGAGAACCCTGCATTAAACATGAGCCCTGGCTGAGCGAGATGCTGCTGTTCCCAGCGGGCGGCTGGGGGAGGCTCCCCCGGCCCCTCTCTTTAGGATGCTCCTTTGGGGGCAGAGTGCTCAGGACCGGGCTCGCTTTGGGGATTTAACAGAGGGAAGCTGCCGAGCAGGGGAGGTGCCGTTTCAGGCTGGCTCTGCCGAGAGGGGTGACACTCAGGGAGCCCCTGCCAGACTAGTGCCACTTGGCGACAAGTCCCACACACGCGTGCAAACACGTAGGCAGACACCACAGGCGTAGGTGCCCTTAGGCAAGGCCAGGCACAGGCAGGGCAAGGCAGGGAAAGGCAGGTGCAGGCAAGGCAAGGCAAGGCGGGCGCAGACACATGCAGGAAAGGCAAAGCAAGGCAGCTGCAGGTGTGCACACGGGTAAAACAAGGCAAGGCACAGCAGCTGCAGGTATGCACAAGTGCATGGGGGCAAGGCAAGGCAAGGCACGGCACAGCAGCTGAGGAGTGCACAAGCATGCCCAGGGAAAGCCAGGCAAGGCACGGCAGCTGCCGGAGTGCACAAGCATGTGCAAGCAACACAAGGCAAGGCAGCTGCCGGAGTGCACAAGCGTGTGCAAGGCAACGCAAGGCAAGGCAGCTGCTGGAGTGCACAAGCGTGTGCAAGGCAACGCAGCTGCCGGAGTGCACAAGCATGTGCAAGGCAACGCAAGGCAAGGCAGCTGCAGGAGTGCACAAGCGTGTGCAAGGCAACGCAAGGCAAGGCAGCTGCAGGAGTGCTCAAGCGTGTGCAAGGCAACGCAAGGCAAGGCAGCTGCAGGAGTGCACAAGCGTGTGCAAGCAACGCAAGGCAAGGCAGCTGCAGGAGTGCACAAGCGTGTGCAAGCAACGCAAGGCAAGGCAGCTGCAGGAGTGCACAAGCGTGTGCAAGCAACGCAAGGCAAGGCAGCTGCAGGGTGCAGCTGTGCAAGGCAACGCAAGGCAAGGCAGCTGCAGGAGTGCACAAGCGTGTGCAAGGCAACGCAAGGCAAGGCAGCTGCAGGAGTGCACAAGCGTGTGCAAGGCAACGCAAGGCAAGGCAGCTGCAGGAGTGCTCAAGCGTGTGCAAGGCAACGCAAGGCAAGGCAGCTGCAGGAGTGCTCAAGCGTGTGCAAGGCAACGCAAGGCAAGGCAGCTGCAGGAGTGCACAAGTGTGTCAAGGCAAGGCAAGGCAGCTGCTGGAGTGCACAAGCGTGTGCAAGGCAACGCAAGGCAAGGCAGCTGCAGGAGTGCACAAGCGTGTGCAAGGCAACGCAAGGCAAGGCAGCTGCAGGAGTGCACAAGCGTGTGCAAGGCAACGCAGCTGCCGGAGTGCACAAGCATGTGCAAGGCAACGCAAGGCAAGGCAGCTGCAGGAGTGCACAAGCGTGTGCAAGGCAACGCAAGGCAAGGCAGCTGCAGGAGTGCACAAGCGTGTGCAAGGCAACGCAAGGCAAGGCAGCTGCAGGAGTGCACAAGCATGTGCAAGGCAACGCAAGGCAAGGCAGCTGCAGGAGTGCACAAGCGTGTGCAAGCAACGCAAGGCAAGGCAGCTGCCGGAGTGCACAAGCATGTGCAAGCAACGCAAGGCAAGGCAGCTGCCGGAGTGCACAAGCGTGTGCAAGCAACGCAAGGCAAGGCAGCTGCCGGAGTGCACAAGCGTGTGCAAGGCAACGCAAGGCAAGGCAGCTGCAGGAGTGCACAAGCGTGTGCAAGCAACGCAAGGCAAGGCAGCTGCAGGAGTGCACAAGCGTGTGCAAGCAACGCAAGGCAAGGCAGCTGCAGGAGTGCACAAGCGTGTGCAAGGCAACGCAAGGCAAGGCAGCTCCAGGAGTGCACAAGTGCACGTGGGCAAAGCAAGGCAGGCGTAGGTGTGGACAGGCAAGGCAAAGCAGGCACACACGTAGGCAGAGGCGGATTAAGATTTATTGGGGCCCCGAGCACAAAGAACATTTGGGCCCCCCACACTCTGGGGGCCCAGGGGTGCCATGGCCCTCCACCATTTAAGAAGGGGTAGTAGCCTCGGGCAGGCGTGGAGCAGTGGTGGCAAGGTGATAATGTGATTAGCTTCCCCACCATGAAGCGCAGCCCCGGCTGGTGGTGCCAGCCTCTTCAAGGAGTGGGGTTGAAATGGGCCTTAGCCCCGCCTTGCCATGGGGCCCCGCCCCTGCTCCTCCTCGCCCCCCAAGCCCCGCCCCCTGGCCGGGCCAGAAACCAGAGCCAGGCTGTAGTAAGAGCCACCCAGAGAGCCTGCGCCGCTGTGGGGAGCCCCAGACCCTCTATCTGCCCTGGGCAGCGCCCCCCAGGGGTGGGGGATATGGGCCGATGGGGGCTCTCAGGCCTCTCAGCCCCCTGCCCAGGCTCTGGCTTCCGGCCAGTCGTGAAAGAGCTGGGACAGTTGCAGTTCTCAGCACACAGCCCCATTACTCAGGGAGTGCATGAGACAGAGGATTATACTTAAATATTCCTTTCAGCACATCCACAGTCTCATCATCCCCTTAGCATGGCTCATTTTGCCGCACAAAACCCAAATGTCCTTCCTCTTTTTCCTACAGTGAAAAAAAAACCACTGATGAATTTCCACTTAGAGCAAATCCATACAAATCCATGAATTGGCTGTAGAGGGGAGGGGTTGGGGAGAGATTTTGTCGATGTTGCTAAAAGCCACTGGTCACTGGTCAGAAACAATGACATTTTGTCTGGAACCGAATTCCTGCATAACTTGTTTGTGAGTTATATAACAGTAATGAATACAAACAGATGCTGGTGTGTGATTTCTTTTAACATGGAGACACCGTTACAAACCCGTGTCCACACGGCCCTTGACAGGATGAGACTCAATCTAGTGGCAAGGAAAAAAAGACGATTGGAGACCGCCATCCTCCTGCAGCCTTCGTCCGCCTTCACAGCTGTTTGGAGAAATCCTCTCTTCGTCTGCCTGCTCTGGCGTTGAGGACTTGGGGGGGGTCAGATCACTGTTCATCTGGAACCTCAGCTTCGACCTTGCCGATAATTATTATTTTTATGGTAGCACCTAGTGGCCCATTGTGCTAGGGGCTGTACACACACATAGCGAGAGACAATCCCTGTCCCAATGATCTTACAGTCAAAGACAGGAGACAGAAAGCTTGGTGGGAGGGGAAACTGAGGCACGGAGCAGCAAAGCCATTTGCCCAAGGTCACACAATAAGTCAGTGGCAGAGCTGG